CATTTTGTCAACAGTTTGTGGTTGGACGATATTGATTTCAGTCTCCTGCTGTGTGTGTCCATCTGTCAGCGCAGTTTCAGTCTCAGCACCACGACGTTCAAAGACCGCAGAGCGCTAAAAACTGTCCATACAGGGCGAGTGGAGGGACAAACCTCGCCGGATTGAGTTTCTGAATCTAATGTGACTCAAACTTTTCCCGATGTGAAAAGTTTCAGCTTCTGCAGGAAGTTGAGACGCTTCACATCTCATCTCACCTTAAGGAAAAAAATAAACCTCACAATTCTTCTCGCAGCTGTTTCCATTGCTTTTCTTTCCCCTCTCTTCACACATTTACCTTCCTTCTTATTGTTTCATATATATTTCTTTTATCTGTGCTGTGAATTGGTCAGGACATAAATCACGGTGTGCTATCAAATTCACCTACGCTGCCATTTTCCTTTCACAAAGGCGTTTGTCTGATGCAAGGACACATCCTGTTGACAAGTCATTACCGCAGCACAGATGGATTTGACGGTTACGGTTTCGATAATAACTGACAGCTCTGGGTGGGATGTGAGTGTGTGTGTGTGTGTGTGTGTGTGTGTGTGTGTGTGTGTGTGTGTGTGTGGGGAGGGGGGGTTAATATGATATCCAGAATAGGATCTGAATCCTCGATTGCTACCTGCCAAGGGGTTGGGAGAGATTAGAGTAAGATTAGATTTTAGCCATGCTCCAACGAGCTCGCTCCCTCTTTTTCTGACATAATTGGATAGTTTGGGCCATATTTCATTCTCAATTGGCCGGTTGTCACCAAAGATGCATAAACACAGGGGAAGAAGAAGAGAAGAAAACACATCGCCGTGGACTGTGACTGTCAAATTATAAGGACAATCACATGATGATGGGGGAGGGGGCAGAAATGATCTGCGCCTCACTGATGGGACTTTTGTCACTTTTTTTCTTATTGTTTGAAACGATGATCTTGAAAGGCAAGCAGCAGTGATTGATGAATCGCAGTTCGTCTCAGTGCTCATGCCACTGAAATACTGTTATTAGATATTTGTCATCAAAGTCCTTCTCTGTCCAGCCCCTAATTCCCGTCACACTCGTCTCTGCAGCGTTTCTTTCGTCGGGAAAAGCTCTTTTACTTTCTTCATATCATCTCTTATCTCTTTTTTTTTTTCTTTCACCATCTCATTCTCTCTCTAACAAATACGAGCTTTTCTTTCATTTTTTGCTTCGGTGTTCTGTTTCTTTTTTCTGTTTTGCCAGTCTCTTACACTTTCTCCTTTTAAGCCTTTTCATTCTCGCTCACGTCTCTTTTTCCTCCCTCTCTCTTATTTAATCTTCACTCTGTACTTTTGTCAACTCTTTCTAGATTTTCTTATTTTCACTTCACAGTTTTTCTACCCCTCCCCCCACCCACCCTCCATGCTTTTCTTTCAATTCAGATCAAAGAATGTCATTGTACTGTGTCACAAAAGAGTCACTGCAGGTGTGTAGAAATGTTCTAATGAACATTTAGGTCTGGTTTCTACGTGATAGTCGGCTGGACCGGGTCTTTAGCTGTGGTGCTGCTGGTTTTTAAGGACAGAGCTTGAACATTTTACATGAACAAAGTATGAATTTTGATGGTGGCTCTCACAGAAATTTGTTTCATTTTCAGACAATCACACGGTCGAGGACTTTGAGTGAAATAAGGAGTAGAGGTTAGAAAAACATGTTGGTTTGGGTTATAATTACCACTTCGTTAAAGGTTAGGGCAACAAATCCGCCCCGATTGCATGACCTACGCAGACTTTGTGGCTCTATAATAACAACCCACAACTTCCTGGTCCAAGAAACATCAATATTAAAATGAAAAAATCAAACAATGAAACACTGCGCTCGTCACCAGCTGGACCCTGCACACCTCACAGGTGATTCCAGTCGTTCAGGTGGGGTGGAAGGTGGGGGCGGATCTGTGCTGGGAATTACATGAGGTTACCAAACTTAACAGGTACAACAGGAAGGTGAGGGAGATGTCAATCAATCACAGTCTGTACACGCCCACTCAGTCCTGGGATCCAATAAGTGACAACACCTGTGTGCATGGTTTCTAAATATTTCTAAAAAATAAAGTGGTTCAACATTTAAATCACAATAAATAAGATTATGACTTTGTGTCGTCTCAGTCTCTCTCTCTCAGTCTCTCTCTCTCTCACTCCTTCACTGTCACACTGTTGCTCTCTCTCCCCGTCCCTCTTTTCTTCTTCCTCTCATTCTCTGTCCCGTCATAAACATCTCTTCCTCTCTCCTCTGTCACCACGGAGCTCACTCACTCACTCTCTCTCTCTGATTGACTGTCATCACATCTGACATCACAGACGGGAGAAAGATGATAAACAAGACGTTTACACCGAGGAGACATCACACACACACACACACACACACACACACACACACACACACACACACACACACACACACACACACACACACACACACACACACAGAGGACTTGAGGGACACACAGTGAGTCTGTGTTGTTGAATTTGACTGATGATGCCTGTGAGAGAGCTGATAACCTGTGACACCTGGCCGCCTTAAAGAGACAGTACACCCAAAATATTTTGACTGTCAAACACTTACAGGCTCAAAAGGCTGTGACTTTAATTTACTGCCTCAGTGAGAAAACAAATGTTATTTTAACAACAAATTAGTTTTAGCCCAAACACGCCTCCTTGTAGTTAGAATCAACTGACAGTAAAATAAAGTTTAGACGTTACTCTGCCTTCAGCTTTGAGAGTGAATCAGACAGTAACTGTGCCACTGTTTCTACTGGTTTTAATCCCCTGGTGTGTTTGTTGTGGAGAGGAGGAAACCTCTGAGGATAATTCAGCTGCAGGTAAAAACCTCCTGAACCACTGACACTGAAGGAATCCAAACTGGGAGAAGCTGATGGCGGTGAAGACGACAACTCCCATGATCCCACGCTACTTTACCCGACTTTACACAACGCCGTCTTTTGTTTTTGCTCTCGCAGCAGAAGCTCCATGCTGCGCAGACTTTGTTTACATTTTCCAAACGAACGTGGCTGACGTCTGATTCATGCATTTCTCCTTCATCCCCCCCCTTTTTTTTTCTTTTTTTTTTTGTTTTGGCTCGTTTCAACTCGGTGAAACTGAATGTATAAGAATTTGTTGAACTGAAAATAAACTTGTTTGAACTGAAGCATAATCTGTTTTCACATCAAAACATCCATAGAAATGTGTAGAACCACCTCGCTGCCGTCCATCTTTACGATGCTCCAAATTGTCATTGTCTCATCCAAAATCTGGCTGAACAGATCACTTCCTCCTCACCTCCTCCTCTCTTTCATCACATCATCTCTTTCCCTCATTTCCTTTGATGTCTTTTCAGGCAAACCTCGCTCTGGTTTCTCTCTGCTTCCCTTTACTCCTCTCTCTCCCTCTCTCTCTCATCTCACGCCTCTCCTGTTCATTTCCCCCTGATACAGGATACGCTGCTCTGATGTTTGATGAGCGTCTGGTTGTTGATTTGGAGACGGAGAGCGACTGATAAAGAGGAGAAGGAAGATGGGGAGGGATAATGCATCTGTTGCCAAAAGATGTACCCACTGATCTCTAAGATTATCCAACACAGTACTGATTTCAGCTCCTACAGCCAATCACCCAGGGAGAAATGCTCCTTCCACCACGTCATAGGTTTTATATTCAGATCCTGCCTCTTCACCAGGTCTCGGATTTTTTATTTTCTTTTCCTCTCATGCAACTGAAAGATGGAAAGATCATTTAAGTTGAGTAAGTGTGAATAAGTTTGCCTCAAGGCTAACGCACGCACACACACGCAAATACAATATGGTTAATAAATGCATAAAAAGTCAGTGTTGAAATGTATGAAGGACAAAAAATGACGAAATATGATGATAAATATGAATAAATAAATGTTGAAATAAATAATTAAGCATAAATAAATGCTAAATAAATTCATTTTGGTAGGCAAAGTTGCTGCTTCTGTATTTCTTTATTCATGCATTTCTACATTTATTTGTGTATTTTTGCATTTATTTAATAATTTTTTATTTATCCATACATTTATTTATGTATTTCTGTTTTTATTTATTTATACATTTATGTGATTATGCATTTCAAGTTTTATTTGTTAATTTATTTGTGTATATTATTTTTGTTTCCTTATGTTAATTAGGTGGGCGGTCCTCCCCAGTCTAAATGTGGATTGGTTATCGCAGTGTAATCGATGGGATGGAAATGCCACGGCCCTGACTGTGACTGGTGCACAGGAGCTTTTCCATGTCCAGTCAGTGTTGCCGACTCACTGACTTTTCTGTGATTGGTGCTGAATATTATTCTGTGTATCATTCATCAAGTCTGAGTGTCAGTGAAAAAGAGAAAGATGGTATTTGTAAAATATAGTGAAGCACGAGGCTTCAGGAAACAGAGAACGTCACGTCAGAAATAAGAGGCAGCTCCTGTCAACTGACTCTATCTGCATCTTTTCATTTGGCCGCGTTTATTTTTAGTTGCTGCTGATGATGAAGACTGATTCAAATCAGCACCTGCCTCTCCCAGGAGTCCTGTGTTAGATACAATCTCCTCTGCTGCAGTGGTCAGTCAGTCAGTGGCTGTTTGTGTAAATTCCCATTGTCATCTTCCATATTTTGTGACTCTGAACAGGAGCACCTTAAGATACACAATGCATGAGCCAGAGCACACACTTCTAAATGTGTGTTTCTTTCCCTCTACTTTAGCAGCATTAAACCTCAATGGGGCCTCTGTAATAAATAAGTTTGACTGGTTAGCACCTAAAGAAAGGAAACAAATCCTCAGTAAACGTCCCAAATACAAGTTCATGCAAATAAAGTGTATTGTTTTGTTTGTTAATTGTATCAACAGTCCAAAAACCCAAATACATTCAGTTCAGCCTGCGTGAACTGTCACATACCTGTGTATTTACTGCACATGTCCGTGTATTAATCGTGTGCTGTGACGCTGACTCACCGTAGCTCTTTGAACGGCTCGGCCCTGACATGCGGCGTCTCCACTGATTTGCTGAAAACGGCTCCTTCGGCTCCTGAAATCACAGAACAACAACGTCAAGACATGGAAGCTGCCGTCAATCGAAACCACAAACCCCTCCCGTCTGATCAATGGACATAATCTCTGAGACTCCGCCGATCCATACGGCTCCGGTGAGCGTGCACAGCGGCTCACCTGGCCGAAACCATAACACAGACTTACATACATTTGATAGGGAAGAAATACCCCGAGGGAATATTGTTTTTAAACTGAAAATATGTTGTTTTATGGCAGCTCAAACTCAAACATATGCTGTTCACTGTGCCAGCTAATGGAAGACAGGTTACATGTCAGCCTGTTTGCAGTGTTTCACATCAAAATAAGAAGCAACAACAATCGGTGAAGAGAAAACACAGACTGGTTGGTAACAATGGTACAACAATGGTAAAATGTCAAGAAAAAGTGAGGTTTATTTATAGAATGCAGGCCGTCATTTTTTGCTTTTCAGTTTAAAATAAAATAATACACACAACATTAAAGGTTCCATATTGTATAAAGGTATATGTCCATGTCGTCTTTGATTATAGATCAGGTCTAGCTTCTATATTAATACTGTGAAAGTATCAAAGCCTCAGTCCACAGAGAAATGCACACAGCCTGTATTCAGAAACTGAGCCTTAAAACCAGCCGTCAGGACTTCTGGAACTTTGTGATGTCACAACGAAGCAGCCACCTCCTCTCAGCTGCGCCCCAAGATTTGGTTTCTCTGAGTGTTTTACCTGAAATCCGCTATATTTTTATTCGACCAGTCAGAAAACAGTCAGCCAATCAGAAGAGAGGCTGTAAAACGAGACCTGTAAGGCACCAAGTCTGAATTTATATCACTATAAAAAGAACTGTGTGGGTGATACAGCACATAGTGTTTAAAGGGCTCCTATAGGGTTCAAAAGTAATTGGACAGTAGCAGCTGTGTGTCGTTTCAATGCTAGTTCAAGAGCTAAAGGGTTCAGACATGGCTCAGAGTTGACTGAGAGATCAGAGAGATGGTTGTTGGTTTTCCAAAGTCCACAGTTGAGTGGAGGGGAGCAAGTCTTGTGGATGAGTGGAAAATGGTTTGCATGGTGAAGAAAAACCCCTTCATGAAAGGACAAGAAGTGGAAGAACACACTCCAGGACGTAAGTGGACAAGTTTCCTTGTCTACGATCCAGAGAAGACTTGAAGAACAGAACCTCAGAAGATTCACCACAAACCTCAAAAACAGAAAAGTCCAGGCTCCAGTTCACAAAGAGAAAACCAGTAGAGTTGTGGAACAAAGTTCAATACACTGATGAAACATAAATCAACCTCCAACAAAATGATGGAAAGAGGAAAATGTGGAGAAAACAAAAAGAACAACTCGTGACCCAGAGCCACCACCTCATCTGTCAGACCTGGTGCCGGTTCTGTTGCAGCTCGGGCATGTGTGGCTGCCAGTAGAACCGGCACACTGGCATTTATTGATGATTTCGCTGCTCACTTTCATCACTCAGCAAGGACGACCATCCTGGACATACAGCGAAAGAACTTTTTCAGGGTGAAAAGGTGGATCTCAGTCCACCGGCTGAGGGACCAGACTCAAGACAGAGAGACCACACAACAAGAGGAGCTGGAGGAGGGCTGCAGTGATGCTAATGCTAATCATTACCTTGTTAACATCGAGTGTTGAATGCTAGCATTAGCGCGTTAGCATGTCATGTCACCACAAAGCTCAACTGAGACTAATGACGACCAGTTTTGTTGAGACTGACAATGAAGATCTGAATCCGAGGCGTCTGCAAACTATGGAGAATAAATTTGTTCCAATATTAGCGACAAAGGTGTTTATTTGTTCCGCCCACCTGCGGTGGATACGGCCAAAAAATAAAGCTGTGAAGGATAAAAACAGAAGCTCTACATGCAACTTTATTTCATGGTGTGAAATAAGCGTTACAGTTTTACAGAGCCACCAGTCTGGCTGCAGATGCTCAGTCCAAACCCCAGTTATCACAACAGCTGAAAGAAATGTCCTGACATACTTTACCACCCGAGGTATGATTTACACTTAAAACAAAGAAACCCTTGGCTGGCCCGCACCCCGAGGCTCTGATTGACTGTAATGCCGATGCGGCAGCTCGGCTCAGAGTAAACCGCAGCGTTCAGGTGCATCAAATCAACAAAGCATCAGGTGCAGATCAATGGTCATGACTGAGTGCGTTTTCAGAGCGTTTCGAGGCGCTGCCGGGAATCAAAACACCTCTTCCTCCGTCACCACTGAAGTCTGATGGAAAACAGGAAGTTCGTCACATTCTGCATTTCTTCGGCATTTAGACCCAATTCAGAGAGAAAAGCTGTGTGCACACAGGTGAGGGTCCTCCACCACACTCAGCAAGTCCAACTTTTTAGGTTTAAGGGTCAGGATTAAACATATGCCCCGGAGAAAAAAATTCTATCACCCAAAATCAGCATCCGATCAATGAATAGCACAGAGGGGATTCAAAAACGTCTCGTCGGACTCGTTGCCGGCCGTTTCAGAGGTTCTGAAAATCACAGAGCAAATCAGAGCTTTGTCGGCAGGATTAAGAACGTCATGTTCCTGTGCTAGAGAAGTGGAAAGAGAAACGCCGCCATGAAAATGGGGATGACACAGCTTCACAGGTTTGCTGTAAGTGGACTTAGAGGAATATCAGATCTTAAATTTGCATATTTCTTTGGACAAACGGAGTTGAGGTGGTAATTCAGACTGATTATCAATTATATTTGCATTAAAAGCATCAGATATTACAGATGTTATCAGAATATCAGTCTAAGAAATACAAATACATGGAATCATGATGAAAGTGAAGGAAATGTTGCACAAACAATGTGAGATCTGTCACAAAGTGCAGCGCTGGTTGTTGAAGTCAGTGCGAACAACAACTGAAACAAACAACTTTCTCTCATTTAAGTCGTTTGTGTTGACGCCACCTGGACGGACGCGGTCGCGTCAGGACAAGTTTGACGTGTTTGAGTATTTTTCAATTAAACAGGAGTTTAATGGCTGAGTTTCCCTGATGTCTGGAGATATTTACGACGCCCTCGTTCCTCCGGGGAGCTCTTCATAATACGGCTCAACCTGTCGAAAAGTCAGAGAAATAAAATATCTTTATGCAAAGTGGAGCTCCGTCTCGCCCATGTGGGATAGATAACTCTCCTTTTAATGACTGCTACAGGTGGAGACACTTCTGTTCTGCTTTTTTTTTACCCAAATGGATTGAACTCTTATTGGATTTCTGCTGGTAGTGACAGGATGATATTCAGCACAGAGAGTCGTGTACTTTGTGTGTATTCCTCAAAAATATACAGCAACAATTACCAAGAAAAATCATATATCATTAAACATCTACTGCGTCGTTTCACCAGTCAAATATTAATTAAGTGGCAACAACTGATTTATTTTTCAGGATTTAAATTTTAAAGATTAATTTCTTGATAAGTGAAACTAAACTGATGAGTTACGGAAGAAAAAAAAACAAAACAAAAACTCTCTGCTCTGGCGACATTTAAATACCCACGGTTCAGTCGGTTCGAGCCGGAGCAGAGACGAGGATGTAAAGTGAAGTGGAAGCCTTGGTGCATGTCACTGCCTCTCTCCTGCAGTAAAGTGAGTGAAGATAAAACAGAAGCCTCACATTATAAATCCCGGCTCTCATTCGGAATAAAAAGAACAAAAAGCTCTTTACTTTGCTTCTGGCTGTCACTCTGCCTTAACTCACTAGTTTAAAAGGATAAAACCGGTGTCGTTTTATTTTATTCATACCACCATTTTTATCTCCCATATAGAAAGTTCAAACAGCTGATGTAGTGAGAGTGAAGAAATTTCTTTTTTCTTTTATTATATAAATACCTTTTCATTTCAAATGAGGCAGGCCATTGTGTCTGGACACACACACACACACACACACACACACACACACACATATATATATATATATATATATATACATGTGTGTGTTTTTCTGATTCATGTGTGAAATGGTACCAATGAATCTTAGCAACCGTTTCTATAGATAAGCTACCGACAAGAGATATGTTGCTGAACTGATCCAAAACTG